TTACCGAGTTAGCGACATTTTTCGGGTCACTTTTATGAAAATTTCTAGCATGAGTAATTTTACATCACACTACCGTCCATCTTCATTAAAGGCATAAGATGACAAAATAAATCTTGAAGAATTTCTCAATAATGTGCCTTGGTAGGTAATTTGAAGAAAAAATAAAGTGTTACTGTTTCTTATTTGTAGAAGGCTTAAGAGGAAAGACCACAACATAATGAACTAATCCATCACAATACATGAAAACTCTGACTTCACTTTTTTAAAAAATGAAATGGTCTTTCCTTTTACTCCCAATTAACAATCAAATATCTTTTATTGAATTATGAATAACATGAATGGATTGAAATATTTAATTAAAGTATCTCAAAATAAACCTTCATTTCAGTGCAGTACTGAAATTAGCTTGAATTCTTCATAACCTCTGAATAGTGGGTGACCCAACAGGTCACGGGTGGTCTAGTAGTGTATAATTGTCTGTTATGGTACAGTCATTTGAGATAGTTAAAAAAGGGTAGTTTAGGTTTATTACACATTTTTGAACTTTTCATTTTACTCTACATTATTGACTACAGTTAGTGTTAGAGCACAGAAAATAACAGATAAAATGAAATGTTTTACTGGAAAAAAAAATTGATATTCATTTAGGAGGTTCTAGAGGGTATATAAATAAAATATGAAAATTGTAAGATGAAAAAAAATTTAACATGCAAGTCACCTTGCACTCAGTTTAGTTTTGAGTCAAACTGACTCAGTAAATTCACAGATAAATCTTTAGTAACAAAATATTTTATTAAACAGTCTTGTAATGTTTACTTAGAAAAGAAACTTTCCAATTGTTGTGAACATACTCTTGGTACATTCATTATTATAGTACATATAGCTTTATGGTTACTGTGTTTGTCAAAATGACCAAGCCTGCACTCATAGAGTTAAAGCAGTCATTTATATATGTTTTATTTAAGTTCTGTATAAAAAAAACTGTGGGTATATAAACAGCAAATTTAAAATGATACATCTGTGTTTAAACAACTTCCTAATAAGTAAATAGACACCCACTGATCCAAGAATATGTTTTATTGAATATACAAACATGAAACAAAGGGTACAAGATTACATCTAGAAACATGGTTACACATTGTATTTATGATATCTGAATTTGGCCCTTGGGATTGCACCCTACTTGTAACAACAAATAACCAGGCTGTTGGTGTTTCTAGAAGTTATTGTTAGGTATGCTTTTAGAGGGAGCAATCAAGGATAACATGTTCAGCAGGGTTCCTTGCTAGTGATTGGCCTGGCTGCTGGAGAGTGGTAATGTTTTGACTTCTAAACCATCATTCTCTGATTTACACTTTATTAGCGAGAGCAACATCTTACATAAAAACACTACCTTGTCTGGTAAGCTGGTTATCAATGTAGACAGATACGAATTGCTCAAGAAATATAATGAATCAAGCAGTAGTCATTGTACATATTTTTTTTATACCAGCACTTGTGATAATGCAGCTGTTCAAATGGCATTCTTCACCATAGAAGAAACACTGCCATATTTTGTTGTGGCATACAGAAGATTCAGTGGCAAAATAGTTACTGAATCTAGGTTCATTAACTATCTAATGATTGTGCAAATGTAGACTCACTGGACAAAATTACTGTGTCCCAAAAGGCAAGAAGGTTAAATAACATTTGTGATGCTAATTTCTGTCAATGTACAGTATTGTCTTGAATGAAGTGTGGCTTTCATCAAGTTACTTTTCTATTATAGCTCTTGCTGTGAACATGTCTTCTGATGGTATTGGGGCATACTTGCACATGTACTGAAACAGTAGCAGCCATATGATGTGAATCTTCCTCCACTACTTTATCATAGTACAAAGACATTGTTCCATTGGTTTTTGGTTATTCAAACCACACAGAAGGTTGTTTTCTGATATGACTGGAACTGCATTGTCAACTATTCACCTTAGACAGCAGTATTGCAAGTAATCTGACAATTTCTCTTTAACTTTGGCTGCACTTCCATTGTCTAGCTTTTTGACTTTTGGTTAATCACCAGGATCTTTTTGTATGTGGCATGACTTTTTGTGTTTTTGTCATTGTTATTTTAACCCATATTTGTGTTCGAACTACTTGCATATGGCATCATTGAGATTATCTATTTGTATTTTCAAGGGTGTCTGTTTTAGTTATTGATAGGCTGTTTATATATTTGTGTTTCTTTTTAATTCTGCACCTGTGATTGTGAGAATGGAAACATCCATTTTAAAGTATAATACATGTATATTTTCTCTGTTTTCCATTTTTTGAATGGGGAAGAGGAACAAACATTTTAAAACATTATACGTGTGTGTGTATATATATATATATATACATTATATATTATTATTATATATATATTATTATTATTATTATTTTGCTTTTCTAGCTGAGATTGTGGGTATGGGAGCAGCAACTATGACTGACACTGTGTTTGGTTCTCGAACTAGAAAAGGAATGTTCAGAACTGTCAACCAATTGTATAAGGATCAACTGGCCAAGCTGATGGTCACTCTACGAAATACTAACCCCAATTTTGTTCGATGCATTATCCCAAATTTAGAGAAGAGGGTAATTTTCCCCTTTTTTTTGGCTATGAACACTTTGTAATTTACTAAAAATAGCTGCGGTTTACTAGCTGCTAAAATTGAATTGCATAAAATTTTGATAATGCTTGAAATATGTTTTTTCACATTCCTCTTAATTCATCCATTGTGGCTTGCAATCAGAGGTGGTAAAAAATAGTATTGTTCTCCTTTGATTTTGAACCGCAATGAACAAATGAGCTTGTTGGTTTTCCAATATTTGGCCATATTTCAGCATTCAAATCATAGTGGTTTGGTAACAAAAAAAATATCAGTCAACATGGGAAAAAATTACTAGTTTAATTTTTCAAAAGCATTAAGCAAGGATGTTGGAAATACAAGCTCTATTATTTACTTATTATCTAACAAGTTGTTAGTACATATATATTATAATAAATATTCATTATTCTTCAAACTCTACAACTATGTTTAAGTTTTGTGTTTTACAATCATTTTGGTTATCAAGAAGACACTATATATGTTTTTAAAAACGGGACACCATTGGATAGATTAGAATGCTGTTTGTCAAATTCACATTTTTGGATATTAAAATATGAATCAAGTTGAAGAGTACCTCATTTGAACAATATTGCACAGTGATAAATAAAACTATTATGATGTACATTAAGCAGTTTACTAGAAATAATAATTTATTTTCATTTTTAAAATTACTTTAATTTCTTCTTTTTTTAGTATTCACCTTGAATATATGTACTTTTACATAATAAGAAATAATTCTTTGTGGTTTAGGAACCAAATGGAACTGAAAATTTAAATTTTTGTGCCATATCTAATCAAAATCCATCTCTCGATTCTTTAGGCAGGCAAAATTGAGGCATCTCTGGTATTGGACCAGCTACGTTGCAATGGTGTTTTGGAAGGAATCAGGATCTGTCGTCAAGGTTTCCCTAACAGGATACCCTTTCAAGAATTCAGACAAAGGTGGAATTTTATTTTATTATCTAGCTTTATATAGTTCTTGTTTTTATGAAAAGTTCATCTATTAGGACCTGTGTGTATTATATAGCTTTTTATACTTTTCATTTTCATGAAAAATTCATTTGCTAGGGCTTTTATTTATTATCTAGCTTTTTTGATTTTATTGTTTTGATAAGAAGAAGCTCGTGTGCTAGGGCTTTTGTGTGTGTGTATATATGGTTATGCTAATTTTTATTAGAAAAGACATGGGGTTTTTGTATACCTTTTTTCTTTTTTCCAAATTAGCCATTACAAAAGAAGTCTTTTTTTTTAAATGAATATAATAATGATTTTATTTAGTTAGAAAATGTCACAATGATGATCTATGTGATTTTGTGTGATGTCTGTTGTTTTTTTTGTTAAAATTTGTCTAAAGGTTCTGTGCACAGACAATTTATATCAAGTCTGAGCTTTGAAATTGATAAATGAAATCCAAATACTTTTTTTCTGATACAAAGAAAGATAAAAGTAGTTCCTATATATACAAACTGATTAGTAATTTGATCATTGAAATGAAAATCGTTAATCATTTCAGATATGAACTTCTTACTCCTAATGCCATTCCCAAAGGTTTCATGGATGGCAAGCTGGCTTGTGAAAAAATGGTGAGCACTGCTTCTTTTCAAAATAGAAAGTAAAATTTAATTTTTAACATTAATTTTGAATGTTCAGAGAGAAAGTAAACTTTTTCTTCAGACAATAAAAATTGCTTGACAATGAACTTGGTTTCTCAGTTAATTGTCATGCATCTTGAATGTTCTGAAGTTATACATAATCTTGAGAACACCAGTGAGATTCATATGGATCTCATTAGGTTTTTAAATTCATTTTTCTATATTATTTATGCATCTTATTGTTTGTGAGTCTGTAGCTTTTGGTTATAGAGTTCCTAATGACATAAGAGATGCACAAAATAATTTAACCAGAAATTACCAATTATATTACAGTTAATCACATCAATTACACCTAGTGTTCTTTATGTATTTTACGTAGAAAATAAAATTTTTCCCCAAAAGTTTTAGTTGGATCTTTACACTGAGTGTTGTAATACACAAAACCATAGAATTGTTCAATATGTGGTGTTCACTGGTCCTGATTTATATGTAAGGCAGTAATTTGAGGGTTATGCTTTACATCTTGATCTTAAGATTTGGATGCCCAGAAGGAAAGTAGCATCATTAAATTTTGAGATCATAATAGTTACTGTTCACTGTGTGTTATTAAACTGTTGCTAACTGTTAGGGCCCCATTTCTGGTTTTATGTTCAACCATCCTTTCTTATGAAAAAGTTATTTTCTGATTGACTCTTATCAATTTTTATTCTCATTAATTTCTTTGCCAGTTATTGAGCTTCTGCTTACTCTCACTTGTTATCAGGATCAACTATTTTGAATCTTATTATTCAAATAAGTTTGCCCATTCTGGTCTCTGATGTTAGGAAAAAAAATGTGTATTTAATTTAAGCCTTGAGTTTTTACATGGTTTGAATGTTAAGTTGGAAAATAACATTTAACATATCTTATTGAGTAAAGGAAATGATATATATATACAGCCACTCTGATATAGCTATGGTAGTTATAGGATTGACTGAGATATGGTTAGAAAGACAATTTCTCCTATATTTATATCCAAAATCACACTTCAAGAAGTTTCACTGTGTTTGCAGCACTAATTCTCAACAACTGTGGTATAGGCCTAGACTTTGTCAGTAGGACCTGTAAAATAGTTCAGTTAATGTTGCCATCAGTCTGTGTTAGGTTCAGTTGTTTTAATACTAATTTTTAACAACTGTGGTATAGGCCTTGACTTTCTGTAGGTAGGACCTGTAAAATAGTTCAATTAATGCTTGTTGTTGGTTCATGTTAGATTCAACTATATTTAAATGTCAAATTTTTAATTTTATAATTGGATTACTGCTGTTGTCAATTTGTTTGAGGAACAACTATTTTTATATCAGTATTTTGGCACATTATTTAATTTGTTTTTTTTAGATTAGTAATAGTTTTTTGTAGGATTCATTCATGCTCAGTGCCAAATTTTTTTTTAGATCACCTTTTTTACACTCTTTATTATGCTTTGTATTTTTCTTTTTTACAGTGCATATTTTAAGTAATCCTGCTATCAAAAGATTAAAATGAGCATGATCATAAAACTGCACAGAACAGATTTTTAAATTCAAATTATGAATTGCTTAACTATTTTTGGTTTTCATGTTAATTTGGAAAATTTAGAGCCCTACAAATATATTAACTTGGCAATTTTTCGAAAGAGCTGATAATTTCTTTACAAAAGCCTTCCCCTGACCTTTAAGATATAACCAGACTATGCAGAATTAATCAGTCTTCTGTGTGTATATAAAAACTCCATTTTTTTATATACATATTTCTCAATAAAATATTCATCCTAGATTTATTTTTAGATCACTGTATGATCAGCATAAACCATTTGAAGACCATTTTTTAAGTCATGCTTGTAAAATGTTGTTCACTTGGTAGTGATAATTCCTTAAGTACTAGTATCTGATAAATGGCTATTTTTTTACAGAAATTATTATTTTTATATTATTGCTATATAGAAAGTTACAAATAACTAGTGATTTTGTAGTCACATGTTTGCTCTAAGTTTCAATGTAATGTATAATCAGGTTGAATTACCTTGGTTTACTGTAAAAAGTTAATATAACAATTTCTTGCATTCATTAAAAGGTGAAAGAAATGGATACAGAAATTCTTCGTCTTTAAAAATTATTTTAACCACATATAATTGTTTTGTAAGAAGTATGTATTTATACAACATTGTCTATTTTTTCACTATTACTTTTTCCAGATTCAAGCCCTGGATCTTGACCCGAACCTATACAGAGTTGGTCAGAGTAAGATCTTCTTTAGGGCTGGAGTCTTGGCACATTTAGAGGAAGAGCGTGACATGAAGATCTCTGATTTGATTATTCAGTTCCAAGCATTCTGTCGTGGCCTTCTTGCTCGAAGGTAAGTATCTATAATTGTTTATATTTATAAATTTGCTTGGTTTTTTGTGTTAACCTTATGCCAAAGGGTCAGTCAACTTGACCAAACTTGTGAAACCAGAAAGCTATATATATATATATATATATA